TGTGTGTGTATATATATATATATATATATATATATATATATATATATATATATATCTCGATCTATATGTATATATGTATATGTATATATGTTTATATATGCTTTTATTTATATATATATATATATATGCATATATGAATATACATATGCATATATATATACCCACACACACATATATATATATATATGTATATAATGTAATTATATAGAAAGTGAATGACTATAAAAGTATAGAAAGTGAGTTATGACCACAGAGCTTATGAATGTTGTTTCATGTATCCGTTGTGAAGCTGTAATGTTTTTCTTCTGTTTTTCCACAGGTGTTGGCAAAAGCAGTTTACTGCTGAGATTTGCTGATAACACATTTTCAGGTAGGATCAACACGTCACATGTGCTTTTAACAAACATTAACTGTGAAAGACGTACAAAGGGTTCGTAGTTATAGAAGCCTGAGTCACTAAAACTGATTCTCTGTCACTCGTGTTATATATGATCTGAGCTGCTGACTTCTACAGTCCTGCCAATAGTTGCACAATAATTTAACGCTGGTTGATGTTACAAAGGTTTACACACATTTGCAAAATAAGAGATACTTGAAGAGGTTCAGGAGGGTTACATTTATTAGGGATGCACCGAAATGAAAATCATTGGCCGAAGCCAAAGAAAATGAAACACTGGGCCGAATGTATTTTGATAATTTTTTTTCACCGTTGCATAAACTAAATAGCCAGAATGTGCTTTTTTTTCTTGCTTTTCAAAGAAAAATTCAACAAAAACGGAACACTTTGAGCAGCAAATCAGCATATTAGAATGATTTCTGAAGATCATGTGACACTGAAGACTGGAGTAATGATGCTGAAAATACAGCTGCGTATCACAGAAATAAATTACAGTTTAATGTATATTAAAATAGAACAGTGTTATTTTACATCATAATAATATTTCACAATATTCCATATATTTTTGATCAAATAAATGCAGCCTCGATGAGCAGAAGAAGAAGAAGGCGTACTTCTGAGAATAAAATCAGCAGCGTTTTAGCTGCACTCTCCATTTCTGCTTAGTTCCCTGAGCGTTTTGTGATTTTGATGCTGGTTTGTGTGTCGTTGCAGGCAGCTACATCACCACCATCGGTGTGGACTTCAAGATTCGCACGGTGGAGATCAACGGGGAGAAAGTCAAGCTGCAGATTTGGGACACAGCGGGACAGGAGAGATTTCGGACGATCACCTCCACGTGAGTGACGCACGCATTACACCGATGCTGCCTCCTATCTAGGATGCTTTCTTTCTGACAGGTTTGAGAGCAGCATTGCATGCGTCCTAATGAACTGAACTCAGACTCGGTTGTGAGTCGAGTGTCCCTGTGTAGAGCCTTCCAGTTTATACACTTATGCTATTCTTACTCCTTTAGGATGCTGCGCTAGAACAATGTAGACGGATCAGAGAAGGGTACATGATTAATCTAAACAAAACTGAAATTGCTGTATGGCTTACTGCGAATGTGACCCTGGAGCACAAAACCAGTCATAAGGGTCAATTTTTAGAAATTGAGATGGACAACTTTAAAGGCGATTTTCTCAATATTTTGATTTTTTTGCACCCTCAGATTCCAGATTTTTCAAATAGTTGTATCTCGACCAAATATTGTCCTATCCTAACAAACCGTACATCAATGGAAAGCTTATTTATTAAAATTAAAATTTCTAGCACCAAGAGCTTGTAACACTCCAAAGAGAAAGGAAAACTTGAAATCGCATCATATGACCCCTTTAAAGTGAGGCGTGTTGCAGTGGTAAAAGTGATATGTTTAGAGAGTGATATCTGAATGATGTGATCTCACACAGCAGGTTTTAAAGTGTCTTGTTTCCTCTTTCAGACGGAGGAAACCGCAGGTTAAAGCCGCTTTCCTTTAGACACTTCATACATTCAGTTTCAATGTGCTGAGCGGTGCGTGATGAGAGCATGTTTGACTTCACGCTTTCCAAGACGTGTTTCATGTGCTCAGAGAGCGTGAAGATTGAAGGAAACTGTAGCTTTAAATCTGATCAGTTTTTGAAGTGCGGTTTTAAAGAGTAGTTATTAAATTCAAACCCTCAATTAAATTCAAACCCATGCTTTTGTGGAAGACTAAAAATTTTAATTTTACTGATATATACATTTTATTATTATTATTATAATAATATAATAATAATAAATTATTATTATTATATATGATGATCTCGATATCAGAATCTCAAGATTAATCTTTTAGTCTATGCTTTTTAGTTTAATGCATGAATAAAATTATTTTAAACATTATTTGTAGCCATCCCCCTTATCCAATAATTACATTTTAAATTTTTTTGAATTTAATAAAATTAAATAAAATGTATTTTATTTTTGTTAAAAAGTACATCGGTCAGTTTTGTCACAAAATTCACACAATAAATGAGTTTTAATTATCACATCTATGAATATATCACAAATTAGCAACTAATTTTATTAATTTTTACTGTGTTAATTTTAACCTAATATAATATTAAATATTAATATTAAAATAATTCCAAATGAATCAAAATGAATTGAACCCAAACTTTTTTTAAATTTGTTTGTTTATTTGTATTTAATTTTTTAGCTTTGCTTTGGTGTTCACTGCAGAAGAGACTCTCTGTCTGTTTATTTGTATTTTCTATATTTTTGTAACTACTATTATTTTGTAGCTATTTTTTGGTGAAATTGTGAAGCCCTACAATTAAATAGAATATATATATATATATTTTTTTTTAAATCACATTCACAATCTTATACATTTAATGTTATACATTTGTTATTAAAATAATATTATACACTTTATAAAATGACATATTTCCAAACGAATCGAGATAAATTAAATCAAATTCATGAAACCAAATTGCTTGTTTATTTGAATTTTATTTTCTTGTTCTTTGCTTTGCTGTTCACTGCAGAAGAGGCTCTCTCACCAGTTATATGTATTTCTATATCGTTATAATCATTATGATATTTTGTACATATATTGTCCTGTATTTTAAGGCTGAGTTCCAGCTTGAGCTTCACAAAGGCTGCTGTTGATGGCGTTTGCTGGTGATACGCTCTCCTATTAGAATAAGTGAATTTCAGCTCAGAAACAGCCTCTGTTATGACTCATGGGGGAAAAAATCACGCTTTAAACCTGCTAACGCTGTGTGTTCTGAACATGAGTGATCCTCAAATCATGAAGACGAACATTTTGACGTAGGAACTGATGATGTGTGCCTCTAGAAAAGTCACCTCAGACAACCACTTCCTGTCAGTGATGTCAGCCGCAGGAAGTGAAAGAGTCACGGGTCACAAATCCAGTCTCGTTTAGAATTGATTGCTCGTTGCTGGAGTCTAGATGGCCCTTTCACATTTTCAGTGCTGATTTTAGGATGAAATCTGTGGACTTAAACATGGTATAATGTGTTAAATGTGTTAAACCACATTGTTATGGGTCAATGAGAGCATGATGAGATTATCTAAAACTTAATAAACACAGAATATGTGGAGTTTAGTGGATGCCAGGCGTTCCAGTCCTGCTGAAAACGGTTGAATGTGTGGATCTGGATGTTTAATCTCTGAAATCAGATCCCAACTTTTTTTGTCAGCCAAACCCCTTTGAGCTAAAATATTTACTTGAAGTTTCCCAGAGATTTTAAGTTAAATATTTCAATAATAAAAAATAAAAAAAGTGACTTTGCTCACATGACATGCAGGTAAACTAATAAATATATTATTATTATTTATATAGTTATGTAAAATATTTTAGTGTTTTATTTAAAATGGTTTTGTTTTTACAATAATTTGTTTTATTTTAGCATTTTTATATCAAATATTCATACAGCAAGATATACTGGAGGCCACCAAATTTTAGTGAAAATCATCAAAATCACTGGCGGTGGCTGGCAACTTTTTTCAAAAATGCTGGCGGGGAAAGAGATAAAAACTATGTATAAATAGTTTTTTTATTTACTTGGTTTTTCACTTATTTCTCACAGTGAATATAGCCGTTGTTGCTGTTGCTGAATGATGCTAAATTATAAACAAACAAACACTGTCCATCATCGTGTCTGTCCTTTTATTGTGGTTTTATTTTTGTATTAGTAAAGCTTCAGAGCCCTGATGTGGTTGTGTGTGTGTGTGGTGGTCTCTTTCAGGTACTATAGAGGCACTCACGGCGTTATAGTGGTTTATGACGTCTCCAGCGCAGAGTCGTTCGTGAATGTCAAACGCTGGCTTCATGAAATCAATCAAAACTGTGACGACGTTTGTCGAATATTAGGTAAGTATATTGCTGTTGTCGTTTTGGATGAATTTCACCAAGAAATGTCCTGTTACATGTGAAAAAGTTCAACTGCAGTAGTTGAAAAATGGATAGAAATATTTGATACCATCAAGATTTGAGGTTAAATATATACAGTATATATTTGTGTTATATGTTTAAGAAGTTTTTTTCTCTGTGAGTTCAGACGACGTTTGTCGAATATTAGGTAAGTATATTGCTGTTGTCGTTTTGGATGAATTTCACCAAGAAATGTCCTGTTACATGTGAAAAAGTTCAACTGCAGTAGTTGAAAAATGGATAGAAATATTTGATACCATCAAGATTTGAGGTTAAATATATACAGTATATATTTGTGTGTTATATGTTTAAGAAGTTTTTTTTCTCTGTGAGTTCACTTTACATGCTGTGACAAAAACGTTTATAAAAGTATTAATGTGCATGCACAATTATAATGCAATTAAGAATTTTATTTATTATTCTATTGGCATTTTTTTTAGCATTGCAGTAATAAGATTTTTTTTGAAGAAAATATGAAGAGTTAATTTGCAAAAACCGATAAACGGCATTTAAAAAAAAAAAAAAAAGACT